GAAATGTTGGGGAACTCTGAGTTAGACAATGGAAGACCATTGGATGATATTTTTTTTATTTATTACTGTATTTTTGGGGCTATAAGATGCACCGGTGTATAAGACGCATCAAGATTTCGAAAAGGTAAGTATGAAAAAAAAGTTTTCTCCTCCCCCGTCCCCAGGAGCACTCTGCAGGCTTCAGCAGGGCTGGGCGAAGGCAAAAACGACTCTGTTTTTTGCCTGTTTTTCACAAAAATGGGGTACAGGTGCGGCGCTTTGGGAGGTCAAAAAAGGCTGTATTCGGTGTATAAGATGCACCAACATTTCCACACTCTTTTAGGGGGGGAAAAGTGTGTCTTATACTCCGAAAAATACAGTAAATTTATAGGCTGTTTCAAGGCCTTTTTATCTTTTGTGTTCAGTTTTCAGGTACTATAACAAGGAATAACTTACTTGCTGTCTGGTAGATCAAGGACAGTATGGTAAAAGGAGCCTGTGGCTGGAACAATTTCTGGCAAACTGTTCTCCCTTCGCTCTTTGCGGGCAGGGTGACAGGCTGAGAGGCTTCGGGCCTGAGCTTCTTCCAAGCTTACCAGCTTCATTGGCAGAGGAGTGGAAGGTAAAGTTAGGCTCTTCATCACAGGTTTATTCTCTGGAAAAAGGAAGGAAGGAAAAACACATTGGAAATCTAGCCTAATTTGGGATGGAATGGAAGGTGGTAATGGCAGAGAGAAATGGAAAAGCAATAGCTCTCTCAAGCAATGCCTTTAATGAATAAACTTTCCCAGTGAAATTGTTTGCAAATGTGATTGTTGAACAAATGCACTTTTTATCCAGTAATGTCATTCAGCACTCTGCCCTCTACCCCAATAGTCCCTTGGTCAGCAGCCATATGCCACAGTGCCTTGGCACGCATCTTCTGAAAATGAGGGTGTTTATTTGTACTGAACTTTGGGAAGACTAAGCTCTTTTTCTAGTTTTGAAGATGAAGCAATACTTCTCTCCCATCCAGACTATTTTGGAAATTTGTTCTGAATATCGTTCCTGTTTTTCCTATTCAACACTGACTGCTATTGTTAAAAGGAGGTAGGAAGTTACAGCCCTGGAACTCAAAAAAAGAAAAGAAAAGAAAAGAAAAGAGAAGAAAGAAAGAAAGAAAGAAAGAAAGAAGTAAGTCCTGATGGTTAAAGACAGCTTTCCAAGCTTCAAAAGTGGCACACTAGCATTTCTTCTAATTAGCTATGTTTTTATTTATTTATTGGAAAATCCATAGCAAAGAAAGCTCACCTTCAAACACTTTATAATAAAATAGAGGACAAACCCAGATTAAACAGAAGTGAAACAGAATATACCTGAATGGAAAGGGGAAGGGGGTGGGGAAGTCATGATTGTGTTATTATACAATTTTAATAATGGACTTTGCATTTAACTTTAAATATTTTGATCTTGTTTTAAACGTTATTATATAGAAACCATGAAAATGGTCTCTTCTGAAAGCCTTTATCATGTTGTGCACCCTTTATATGGAACAGTTTATAAGGGAGCCTAGGAAATTCTTATAACAGGTCTGCAACTTTTATTGAGTACTATTTTTATTAAATTATCCCTTAACTGAATGTTTTGCCATTAACAGCTGCCAGAAAGCAACAATTTAAAGCAGCCTGTCCAGCTGGCAGCTGCAACTTATGAGACCATGCTATTTACACCTTTTTTCTTTTTGAAGATTGTTATGGGACAGAACAACAGCTAAATTGATTTTTCAGCATGATGGCTGTTTTAACTAGTGAAACAGCACAAGGATGGGATATATAACATCCCCAGGTAGTAATGTCTTTGCAAACAACTTTCTTGGCACATACTCCTTGCCATACTTCACTTGTTGTTGTTGTTGTTGTTGTTTGTTTGTTTGTTGTTGTTGTTGTTGTTTTTAATACTCTTTTAATCCAAAACCTGATGTGTCAGAAACTGACACAGTAAAAATCAAGGTGTCAGCTGCTAATATCATTTCTTTTCCCCCAAGTATCTTAGCAAAAATAAGTGTGGAGATTGCAACTTGGTGGTTTATTTGGAAATATGCCCACATGCTCAGGAACAAGACAAAATAATCAGGGATCAGAGAACATTTGAGATACTAGTGATGTCAGGAGCAATCTCTCCGGTTTCACTGTCTTCTATTAAATGGAAATGTTATGCCTGGCCATAATGTACCCAACCTTAGCATCAATCTGTGGATGGAGAAATTACATGAAAGTCATTTTAGTGATGGCAATATTGTCTAATATTCAAATGTGCCCACCATCCCATTAAAATGCTGATTTATTAGCGGATAAACCAAGTATCTCAGGACTTTTCCTATAACTTTTTGGTGTGATGAGTTACTGTAACAACATTAGGTCAATGATGAGGGCAAAGATCTCCTGGCTGTTAAATCTCTTTTCCATGCTTCCTTTTTTTTGCTTTTCCAAGTAATCAGGTTGCAAGAACAAGAGAAATGAGCAACAAAAGGGAATAAAGCTGAGACTTCTTATTAGATCCCCATAATTCAGTCTTCAATGAATGAGAAACTTTGCAACTTTTGTTCCAACGTGAACTGAGGATTTTATGCAGTGGTGGGTTTCAAAATTTTTTACCAACGGTTCTGTGGCTGTGGCTTGGTGGGCATAGCATGGGAAGGATACTGTAAAATCTCCATTCCTTCCTCACTCCTGGGGGAAGATTACTGCAAAATCCTCATTCCCTCCTGAGCAGCTGGGATTTGGGAGGCAGAGAATAGATGGGAGTGGGGCCAGTCAGAGGTGGTATTTACCAGTTCTACAAGCTACTCAAAATTTCTGCTACCGGTTCTCCAGAATTGATCAGAACCTGCTGAATATCACCTCTGGTTTCATATCTTCAATCCTTTTGTGCATAAATTAAAGGTTTGCTAAGGCTGCATCTTCCCAAACCTACTAATGGTTCTGAAAGCAATTTTAAAAAGCCTTTAAAGGATTAAAAAAAAATTACAGGTAGTCTTCAATTTACAACAGTTCATTTAGTGACCACTTGAAGTTATAACGGCACTGAAAAAAGTGACTACTGATCATTTTTCACACTTATGACTGTTGCAGTAGCCCCACGGTCATGTGAGTTGCATTT